CAACAACAAAAATGTTTATTAGGAAATTAGCAATAAGTGAGTTTTCATTAAAAGCTTATCATTGCCAGTTAGAATGCAAGTTAGAATATTGTAGAAGTGTTAGAATATTGTAGTGTTCGAATAATGAACTCATGAAGTGAAAATTGATTCACAAGAAGATAGAAGATATGCTTTTCTCCAAGTACAGAGTTTTTAGGATGAAAATGTACGCTGTGCTTTACGTCTTGGGATCGCGTTGTCTAGAAAAGAAGTACAGTCCAATACCACAAAAATCTGCTCTTAATCAGCTAAACTTTTAGTCAAAAGTACCAAAAGTTTCATAAAATTAAAGCACAACGTACATTTTCATCCTAAAAACTTTCCAATCAAAATTCTGCTTTGACATTGATGTCCAGGTTTGGACAATGACCCGGACAGGAAGCTTGTTTGAATTTTATTCGTCAACCGTTCCATAAAACTTCTATAATTCTTTTTCTATAAACTCTCTCGAAAAGTAGTCACATTTTTCTAATCTTAATGTTTTTTCTCAAGTTTTTCAGAAACCAAAAAAGTGCTGAAAAGGGGGGAAATGAAGCTCTGCGTCAGGATCAATTTTACCCGATGCTTTGTGGTTCGAAAGAAAAGCCAACAGATTTTTCTTTTCAGTAATATTTCAATAGGTTAAGGAATAAATAAACGAATAACTGAATGAATGAATAAATGGATCTTTACTGTTATCGGCGGGGCCGAGTTTTTGTCCATTTTGCAACCCGATTTTAGATAGGTTTTTGTTAATAATTTTGGATGAAAGAAATAGTTTCTGAAAATTGACGTTCTAAGCTATCTAAATCTTTTTAAAACTTCCTGTTTGGACGAGTTTAAGATGCTTAAAAATGAGCTGAAAGTTGGCCAAAAGCTCCCCCGCCAGCCGATAATCGCGCCTCCTTCTCCTCCTCCTCCTCCTCCTCCTCCTCCTCCCTCCTCCTCCTTCTCCTCCTCCTCCTCCTTCACCTCCTCCTCCTTCTCCTTCTCCTCCTCCTCCCCTTCTCCTCCTCCTTCTCCTCCTCCTTCTTCTCCTCCTCCTTCTCCTTCTCCTCCTCCTCCTTCTCCTCCTTCTCCTCCTCCTCCTCCTCCTCCTCCCCGTTAACCGTAAAGCGCCGAATGAATAAAATAAATGAATAAAGGAATGAATAAATTTAAACTATAGAGGAATTGGCTGACTGGAAAGTTACAACAAAGAACTCTTGTCCGGGTAATTTTGCCCAATTCTGTACTTTTCTTAAGGGCATTTATTTCATAAGATTGAGCCAGGCTGTTGAGCCATTTTCCACGTTTTTTCTTAAGTTGTATACTTTGGAAAGTTATTGCAATCTTTGCACTTCAATGATCTCATTGAAGCATTCAAAAATTGATTGAATAATTAGATATATTGAAGTAAAATTAGATAAAATCTAAAGAATAGATTACGATAATTTTTGACAAATTACCTACTTTTTAAAATTACGCTTTCTAATTCCATTCTAATTCTAATTTCATTTCTAATTCTATTCTTATCTCTGTTATTATCGTAATAGATTGATTATAAAGTTTTGTATTGAGTGAGTTTATCAAAAGTGATTCAATTCTCTACAATCCTCTTCCAGTTTTTCTTCCTCTTCGGCACGGGTCGACAAAAGGAACACCAGTCGATCACCACCAATCAGCCATTGCAGGTTAACTATTTTTGAATAGCTTTTTGAGATTTGGGGAGTGGGACAAATGCGACCTTTTTTTTCCGCATCTTGCCCATTACCGCACCTTTTTTCGCGTTTTAAAAAAGCTCTAAAAAGCTAATATTAACCAATTTCTATTCCAAAAGTTGTTTTTCTAGGTAATTTTAGGGCGTAGAATCGAAATTTTGACATATCAGAGCTTGTGGAAACAAATGGACGGAGTTATACAAAGAGAAAAATCGACAATTTTCTGTAATTTGATCTAGCCGTTTTATCTTTCAAATTGGTTCCACACGCTCTGTTATGTCAAAATTTCGATTCTACGCCCTAAAATTACCTAGAAAAACAACTTTTGGAATAGAAATTGGTTAATATTAGCTTTTTTGAGCTTTTTTAAAACGCGAAAAAAAAGTGCGCTAATGGGCAAGGTGCGGAAAAAAAGGTGCGCAAATGTCCAGGTGCGCAAAAAAAAAAGTCGCATTTGTCCCACTCCCGAGATTTGAGATTGATTTTCGATTTTTCATTCATTTACAAACGATTTCAGTGATCCGATAGAAAGAAAAAAAAATGGATTTCCCCTAAACCATTCACTTTGTTTTCTCATTTGCTTTCACGTGATACTCGCATGTAAAACTTGTCAAATTTTTGCTTAAACGCAAAGGATCTGGCGTAGTGAAGCTAAAATTTAAATTACAAGGTTTTTCACTGAAAAAAAGCTAAAAAGCTAAAATTTTCCTTTCTGAAATTTTGAACCAATGAACTAGATGGCTATTCGGTTTTGCCTGAACGTCTAGTATACTAATTCGCTTTTTGCCAGATTCCATGCGCTTCTAGAACTTCAAAGTTCAATTTTTTTCTTCTTTCATTGTTCAGTTATGATTTTTCCGCGTTTTGACTTCAATTTTTTTTTGTTCTTTCTCGATTTTTCATTTAAAAATCAGTCCCCAACTTCTAGAGTTGAAAAACATTGTCGCTCAAATAAATCTCATTGATCGTTGAAACTTTGCGAAAAAATGCATTCGAATTTAATGAGGTGATCGGATTTTTGCGGATTTGATTTGTTTGTTCATCAAAAAAAACTACAGAACTCAAAAAAAAACTAAAGAACAAAGTTGGAAAGCGTTTAGCATTTACCGATTGCTCACTGTTAAATCAACCAAAACTTTATTTTGAACACTGTCACATAGCCGTTAACTGTTTTACTGATAATTTAGTGTAAGTTAAAAGAAAAACTAAATTATTATAGTCATTTGATAGCCCTGAGTCTCCTCTTGAAAACGAGTACAAAATTACTGAGAAATTTCTACAAAATATCTAAGCTTTGCCTAAATTGCTCGAAATCTCGAAAAGCGCCTATCAGAACCTATCGATGTGGGGTCGGAAAATGTAGCTGACGATGAGATCTTGTGGGGGATTTAAGTGTTGAGCTTCTGCAAAAGCTTGGAAATCGTCAAATAGTCACCAACTCGGCTCGCCTGGGTGCACTACTACTAGAGAAAATACGGTAACTGCAATTGTAGCTGACTTTTTGACTTAAAGACGACTGAGAAAAAGACCGTACAGATGGACGGACAGACACTGCTCTTTTGTATATACCGTATTTTTCTCTAATAGTAGTGCACCCAGAGCGTCGGCTAAATTGCTCGAAATCTCGAGAACCGCTTATCAGAACCTATCGATGTGGGGTCGGAAAATGTAGCTGACGATGAGATCTTGTGAAGGATTAAAGTGTTGAGCTTCTGGGAAAAATTGGAAACCGTAAAATAGGCATCAAATCAGCTCGCTCGGGTGCAATACTATTAGAGAACTTGATCTTCCTACCCGTGTCTACAGTTTGGTTACTAGTAAAGGTGCCCCCAAATTTTCTCAATAAAATTCAAAGGCAACAATTTTGTGCATTAAATCATTGAGTAAATCAGGAAGCTTATTACCGAAAAAGATCAAACAATATATTAATAAAGTTTATGTTTAAAAATGACGTCAACTGGACTTCGCATCATTGAGACGATCATTTGATCGTTTCAAAAAGTCATCAACAGTTTTTTTTGGATAGTATCAAGTAGAATCTCGTTTCAAACCTAATCACATAGCCTTTTAATGAGCCAAAACAACGATTATGTCTTTTAAAGTGAATCTTTGCTTTAAGAATAATAGAATAATCTAAGGATTTTCAATTTCAAGTCGGATTTCGGAGTCCTGGGAATCGTATTCTCAAAAGTATCTCACGGATTCTCAAAAAGTTCTTATTCGAAGATTTTTGGTTAACAAAAACTTTAATTTTATGTTGATTTTGGTTAACAAGTTTGTAGAAACATATTGGCTTAAACGGCTTTTGAATCTAGCAAGCTGTTGCTAATTTTTAAGGGAAAAGTAGGCAGAAATCAACTTTTAACACATTCTCTCTCATTTCTCGAAAACTCTTCGTCAGATCGGGATGAAATTTTGGTGTAGAATCAACAAAACTTCAATTGTTATTAGCAAAAAGATTTGAGCAAAAGTTATGGTTTAGTTTCTTTGAAAAGTTCGCCCGAAGATGCCCATTATTATAGCTCATTCGATAGCCCTGAGTCTCTCCTTGAAAACTGGTATAAAATCACCGAGAACTTTTTACGAAATAAATAACAAAAGTTCTTAAAAACACTGAAAATTTACACTAAAAATAATCGACATTAGTGGATTTGAGCAAAAGCTACTTGCTTTTTTTGCTTGATCTTCCGGTGGATAAGGCTATGACCTTCCGGTGGACCGGATAAGGCTATGATCTTCCGGTGGACCGGATAAGGCTATGATCTTCCGGTGGACCGGATATCCGAAGCCGTATCTGAAATTCCGGATAATCGGGCTTAATCTCCGGATCCAATCCGTATCCGAAATTCTTCTGAAAGCTTATCCGATCCGAAAATTCGATCTGTATCCGATCCGAATTCGATCCAAATCCGATCCGTGTCTCATCCAAATCCGATCCGAAAAGCCGTTCCGAATCCGATACAAAAATCCGATCCAAAACCGATCCGAAATTTGACTATTCGCACAGCTCTGGGTCGGATCGTTGTGAATGTACGGCTGGGCGACAGTTCGCGGATTGGATTCAAGATTCAAGATGCCCAATTGTTGCGCATGATCAATCTTTTCGAACAGGCGCAAGCCACCGATTGCGTATTCTTGGTCGGTTTTCCTTTTGCCTTTTAAATAATAGTTAATTATGTTTAGCTGGCTTTACTGCGCCGTGATTCAAGCTGTAAGAAAGTCAGCGACAACGGCGAGAATCTTTATTGAGACACGCTAGATAATCGTTTGAGTCAACATTTAAGCCTGGGTGGCATTCTTTGATGGACAATTTGGCAAGAGGGTTGTCAACGTCTTCACACAGGCCCCGATTGGGGTGAGCATCGAGTTGGCTTGGAGGAACGGGCGAACACAGGTCGTCCATGTGCACGAGCAACTGCGCTTCATCGTCGCCTGGAATTTTAGGGTTAAAGGTTGGTGGGTGAGGATTTGACGCAAATTGAGCACAAGTTTCGGCACAGTTTTGGCTTGAAAGCCTTCTTAAACCCACATTGACAACATTACAAACGAGATCGGTGGTGCAGGCGGCGGTTCCGCAAGTTGAGATCGACTCAACGATCTCCCCGAGACTTTTACCGGCTACTGTCATGTTGTGCACATTTTTTGTCTAAAAAATATGCAAAATTTAGCAACAGTCTTTAAAATGAGGCAAATTAACTAAACAATTAAACACTCACGCATTTCACGAAGGCCGGTTTCACGATCTTTTTCAGCGCAACGCCGACAGTGCCCGCTAGCCAGTCGGTCCACGACAAATCCTTGCACTGAAGCAATTCGGATTAGGTATTAGGAAAACGGGTAATTTTAGGCACTCACACTTTGGACGCAGTTTATGAAAGCGGTAAGATTTTGGACGTATTGGAATTTCGTCGTTGCTATGGTGCTCATGTAGCTGTCGGTGTTGGCGCCGAGAACTGAAAGCGATAGCGATTCAAATGTGTTTTCTACAATACAACAAGAAGCTACTGTACTTTTGATGCCTCTTATAAAGTACTAAGTCTATCAAAAGCTATCGTACTCCTTAATGCAAGTCCAATCTAAGCAGCCTGGGTATATTGAAGAGCAAAAGCAGTAAAGCCATTCGATTTTTTATAAAACGGAAAAGCTAACGTAAGTTTAAACTAATAATAAAATAACAATACTGGCTTTATTTTTAAAAAGAATTAAGAACAAAGCAGTTTTTTTAAGTCAAAAACCAAGTTTAGATGTTTTCTGAATATGTAAATTTGAAAAAAAGCAAACCAGCTGTAGTTTGGTCGATTGTTGATCCATTTGCGGCGCAAGTCGCAAGATCGTTACCCACCTGAAATTTGTGGATATTGCCTTGTAATCTTTAAGCATTTTTCCGGAAACTTTTCCAATTTCAACTCACTTGTTGAATGATTGCATCATTGCAGGTGAAGAACTTCGCCAGCGTGACCTTGCCGAGAAGTTTCGTCATGAAAACGACTGCATTTTTCCCACCAGCCACCGACGTTGCCGAGTAAACGATTGCTGTTGTCGAAAAGATGGCTAACAAGAGGAAAAATCGCATCTTTCCGTTGCCCACTGAATTTGGATATTTGTAAGAAAAAGAAAACAGAAAACAAAAAATAAAATTAAGTAAAAAATGAGTTTATAGAGAATCTGAGAAAGAGAAGCTTACTCTTGTTCCTTTCCCAGTCCAGCTAATTGTAAGAGCTTTGTTTTTCAATACTTAAACTTAAAACCTTACAACTTCTAGGTAAAATTAGAACGTTAACTCTTTAGGTGCATGTTAACTCTAAAAAAAACCAGTTGTTTTTATTGATTCCGAGCTTTTGACAATAAGAAAGATAAACGTTTTGCTAATTCTAGAATGGACAAAAATAAACCCTGTAAATAAGTATAGAAAATCGTATTTCTAGTGCTATTTCTGTAACCACCAAGCAACATGTCTTCCAGAACCAGAAAGCTCTAGCAAATAGCTAATATAAGTATGGCATTCTTTTCGGATTATGTCTTTTCTAAGTGTCACTTTACTGCAGTAATACTTTATCATTTAAATAAAGTATCAATATGATAATCCTGCTGCATGTAATGCTATTTGGGTTTGCTAAATGCTTATCTTCAAGCCTAGCTCTAGAGTATATGATCATCTGATCATAAGAAAAGTATATACCGTAGTAGTGCACCCAGCCGAGCCGAGTTGATGCCTATTTTACGGTTTCCAATTTTTCCCAGAAGCTCAACACTCAAATCCCCCACTAGATCTCATCGTCAGCTACATTTTCTGATCCCACATCGATAGGTTCTGATAAGCGGTTCTCGAGATTTCGAGTAATTTAGACGACGATCAAGGTGCGCTAATATTAGAAAAAATACGGTATCTATTTTTGCCTATTTAGTTGCGTAGGCTACCGTAGAATGTCAAAAAAAGAGAGATTGGAAAATTGAAACCAAGACTACGATAGTTTTTGAAAGTTGACAGGCTTTAGGAAATGCATTGGTGCATGAAGCAAGCACAACAACACAAGCAGCAATAGGTCGTTAGCGGCCAATGCGCTGAGTTCATCTCCCCTCAAATCTCCCTCCATTTTATATGCACCCAATGCATGCTTTTTCCGTTCACACCTTTCTACGACAACCTCGAATTTTGAGGGGATTTCAAGAAGAAAATCCGCTTAACAACGTGTAAAATAAAAGCCCATTAAAAGAAGGTTTTCTGTTTCGATGGACATTTTTTTGATTCGGCGAATTTCATCGGGATTTAATGCGTTGTTCGCCTAAAGATCAGCAACCAAAACTGAGGATTTAAGTAAAATACATTGAAAGTCTTGTTAATTAGTCAATTACAAAAATTTTAAATCTTCAATCTAGTAAAGTTTCTTTTTATAAACACCGAAATCTTTCAAATAGAGCATTTTCTAAAACGTACAAACTTCTGAGAGCTACCGTAACCTACTTTTGACTACTTTTAAGATATTTGTATCTGGATTATATTGGATTTCTTGTAGAACTTTTAGAATGGTTTAGCTAAATTGCCGTTTGTTGAATCACCTATGAAATTATCACTGAAATAGTTGTTCAAAATTGAAAGCTAGAATAACCATTTCAACTTCCTGAAATAGTTGTTCAGGAAGTTGAAAAACACTTCCTATAATCTGTTTAATAACTTGCAAATGAACACTGGATAGATTGATTATCTCGTAAGATTCTAGAATGCTTCTAATTTAATCTTTTAATCTAGAATGTTCTAGAATGCTCATCATTCGAAATCAATTAGTCTAATGTTTATGTACCAAAAATCTATCTGGGAGTATAGTTTAAAGTTATGAATCTTTAAATTATCTACAATCTTTTCAAGAAATACAGATGTGGAAATGAAAGCAATATTGGGTAAACGGGATAATACCAAATAACGAATATATTGGGGAGATAGCGCCGAAATGTAATAGCGCCGAAAATCAAAGGAATTTCCAAAAGCTAATAATTTGAGAGAACCTGCCTTTTCCGTTCTCAATTCACGTTTAGTGTTAGTTATTTTGCTAACAATACGCTTAATCTTGAACAGCACATGACACAAAACGGCTTAAAGGGTTTTTGACACGTTTCGAAATACTATTGGGTTTGGGAGAATGAAATGGATATTTGTATCTGGTTTATATTGGATTTCTTGTAAAACTTTTAGAATGGTTTAGCTAAATTGCCGTTTGTTGAATCATCTATGAAATTATCACTGAAATATTAGGTTGATGCTTAAGTCTTTTCGTTCCTTTTCGTCTGCCGTTTCAAGCCAACAAATGCACCAATTAAACTACGGTTGATTTCATTAGAAAAAGCAATTATTTTTCTGCAAAATAACATTAAAACGGGTTTAAAAATATTTAATGCCTGGATTTTCTTGAGAGTATGAAGTCGGGTAGTCAAAAAGGGCTAACTCGATGATGCGGTTTAGACACCTTAGCTAAAGAAAACCTATCTTCGTGTCAATAGATAAAAGATAGAGAAAAAAACGTTTGATATTTCGCCAAAATTTCAGAGAAATTCATTCAGCCAATTTTTCCGTAGAGTTTTTTATAGATTTTTACGAAAAAGGCGTTTTTCACTCTCGAATTTGCTTGAAAGTGAACCGAAATTCATTTAAAAAGATGCAAATTGAACAAAAAAACACTTTTTTTATAGAGCAAACTATAGATTAATTGGTGAATTTGTTACTTTTTAACAGAAGTACGAAAAAAACGAAAAGACTTATGCATCAACCTAATAGTTGTTCAAGATTGAAAGTTGGAATAACCTGAACTTCCTGAAAAACTTCAACTTCCTGAAATAGTTGTTCAGGAAGTTGAAAAACACTTCCTATAATCTGGTTTCTATAATTTCTATAATTTTCTATAATCTATAAATTTTCTATTACAAATGCATCAAATGAAATACGGTTTAAACCATTGAAAAGCGCTAGATATCTTCAGCAAAATGGTTGTTGACAATTCGGAAAACCTTTCATTTTTCGGATTTTTCGGGAGCGCAAAGGCGAGTAGGGAAAATTGACGAAAATTGACGTTTGGCAAACTTTTTTTTGATGGAAAATGACAATAACTTTCTATACTAAAGGAAATCTTTATTATATTTTTCTTAAAATTTCCAGTAAAATCCGTTTTTTACAAATTTCAACTTATCGACATCGATTATCTCGTAAGATTCTAGAATGCTTCTAATTTAATCTTTTAATCTAGAATGTTCTTGAATGCTTCGTAATGCTTCTAGAAAGGTTCATTTAAATGCTATCTGCCAGTTGTTGAACAGTAAAATTGAAGTATTCGGTTGGAGAGAATGAAACTGCGCCGAAAATCAAAGAAATTTCCAAAAACTCCTAGCAGATTTGATATGATACGCGTTTGCAAATGATACGCGTTTGATATTAGTAGAAAGGTTAACTAATTCTCTACAAAATGACATTTAAAAAAGAACTCAAACAGCGCCTCAGCTCAACAAAAAGCCATTTTTTCCTAAAAACCTATAAACTATCATTTAGAAAAAACGGCTTAAGGGATCTTCTTGAGAATTTTACAACTTATGTAATTGAGCGTGCTCTATCTTTTTTATTGAGACACCAAAAGAGGTTTATGTGGAAGAAACTGTTCAAACGATAAGTTGAATAGTTGAAAAAATTAAGAAAAATGTCTCTCTTTTCGGAATCTTTGCACACGATCAAGAAGTCGAGTTTTTCTTGTCGTTTTGGTATATTTACAAAAATGGCCGCATTTTGCGAGAATATGGATGATGCAAAAAGAGCGGATGCTTTCTTGTAGGATTTTTTCAATGGATAGCTTTATGAAACATTCAGATTTTACAGCTTGAGGGATCTTCTTGAGAATTTGGCAACTTATGTAATTGAGTGTGCTCTATCCTTTTTTTATTAAGACACCAAAAGAGATTTATGTGGAAGAAACTGTTCAAATGACAAGTTGAACTCTTTGTCATTTTGTCGAGCTTTGTTTGGGAGTCCATAAACTCCACAAAAGAAAATCTTTGTGGAATTTTGTATCAAATCAAATCAAAAGCCATTTTGTAGAGCAATGATCGACTTTTTTTGATTATACAAACAATAAATTATATGTAACTTTTATGCTTTATAGAAAAGTCAAAAGAAAAGAAAAGAAAAGTTGAAAGTCAACGCCATTTCATACTCGCCAACCTAATACATAATCAAATGCTCTGAAAATAAACCCAAAATTGGGAAGAAAAGTGTATCACCGGAGTCATCAGACATTTCATGGGTGTATTGCAACTCTTGCATAGGTTTAAATTGACAAGCTTTTGACTCTGAGAGGCTTAAATTGACAGAATTGGCCTTTCTCGAGATCTAAGTCTCACTTGGATACCAGAAGGCTTTCTGCGACGATCGGGTCAATCGATCAATGAAAAAATGGGAAGCGCTTGAGTTTGGTAAAATCAGAAGCTCAGCTAGCTTTAACTTTTTGATCCAATCTTTTAGCAATTTAAGATTTTCTAAAATTAATCTTTTGTTCATCAAATTTTTTTGAAACAACTGTGCATTTTTGATTTGAATCAACCAAATTCATCTTTATTTCTTTATCTATTCGATTTTCTCATCCTGATGGACACGTGGCCTTCTTTTTGTACGTCGTCTTGATATATTTGGCAAGAGTGAGCACTTTTTGAGCGACGACTTTTTTTAATCACACATTCCGTCCATGTACCCGAATATGTCAGTAGCATGTCTTTCTGGAAAATGGCATTAATTCACTTGTTAGATGAGCCATAAATTCATCTGCCCAAAAATACAACTTTATGTTTACCTTGACAATCTGCGAGATGAGATCCGTTGTGGTGATGGCCGTCCCCTTGATGCACGCCTGCTCAAGACGATCGCCGACCGGTTTGCCGGATGCTTTCATCGTTTTCATTGTTGGTTGAATCTAATGTTGGATTAGAAATGAGATTTGGATGAAGTTACCGCTGACTCGAAGGGCAATTTCAACTTTGCTTTCAAAGCACCCAACACTGTTTTCGTCAAGAAATCGGTGAGACCAACGTCTTTCTAAAAATGTAAATTGGCGTGACAGTTTGTATGTCTTTAGATCTTTAGGTTTAGGTCTTTAGGTCCCTGAAAAGATCTTTAGGTTAAACGTAAATGCGTAATTGAACTAATCCTGTATCTTCACCAAAAAGGCAAACAAACCTGTCCACTGAGACACGAAATGAAATCAGTCAACACTCCGGCCAATGCGATTTTCGTCGTCATCAATTTTTGCATGTATTTGTTCGAGTTGTTCGCCAATACTGAATTCATTTAGTTAACGGATCAGCATTGCTTTAAAAACAAATTTTCCTGAATAAGCCAGAAGCCGGTAACCTGATCTGACTTGCTGAACCACAAGAAGTACCTGAGATAGCTAGAAGCCAGGCCAAGCTTCTTGGTCTAGTGGCCTAGCTTTCTTGGTCTAGCTGCCTAGGCCTAGGCCTAGCTCTAGTCTAGTCTGACTTGGATAGAAATGTAACGCAGCCCAGCTTACAATATTGAATGCAAAGACATCAAAAAAAAGAATTGGCCAGGCGAGGATTCGAAACAAAGGCTACCTACGTTCAGCAGGCTAGCACACTACCCACTAGACCACCAGGCCAGTGGCGATCTCATGAAGACTCATGAAAACCGAAACCCAAATCTAATGACCCTATTCAACTGCTTACCATCAGCACAAGTAGAGAAATCATTTGCATCGGCAATACAAGCTCCAAGATCGTTGTTGATCATGCAAACGACTTCATCTTCAGAAGTAAACTTTGCGGTCAGTTTGCTGAGCGTTGTATTGAGGAAGCTCTGTGAGAAAAAATGAATGATAGAGCTTTAAGTCAAAATTAGTTTGAAATGATATTCGCAAAGAGTTACTGTATCCAATTATTGTCTCAAGAAGTCAGCCATTAACTTACTTTGCAATTTTTTCCAATTTTTGAACATTCAGTTGCCGCCCAGGTGGATCCGACGAAAAGAGTGATGAAGATTAGGAGTCTCATCTTTCAGAGAAACCCAACTGAAACGAGATTACTGATGAATCGTAGAAATAGAACAAACGAACAACAAACATTGAATGAAAGTTAGCTAAAAATCGATTTGTCGTGTAGGTTAACAAGACTATTCGACTGTTTTATAGAATTTCTCTAGAAAAGAATTTGGACACGCCTGTTCTTTTCTGGAGCCGGTGCAAAAAATGACCTGCATCGGGGTTTGAACCGGCGACCTACCGCTTACAAGGCGAACGCTCTACCAATAAGCGCTAAACCGAGACTGCTCCCATGCCACCAGGAAAGGTCTTATCCCTTACCGACCACTTTTACAGTGCTGATATTTCAAAGTAAAAGTTGGTAGTGAAACTTGTACGTGCTGATATTTCAGTAATTGAGTAACCAAACTTACAGGTCTATGAATAGAATAATACAGTAAGCCTGGACTATTCTAAGCTTAGAATTTATAGATACGAATTGACTTTCTTAACATTTAGCTTACGACTAGATTAAGCTTTGAAAGCTTTTCAAAAAGATTGGCGCTTTAAAGCATGGCCGACCTACCGTAACTCTAGCCAATTTACAGTAAACAGACGATATAAAAACGCAAAGATCTATAAAGATGAAGATTTAGGCTATGTTACGGTAGCTGGAGCATGAGCTTAAGTACCAAAAGTTTAAAGCTATCTACAAGTTTTACTGTAGCCGTTAGTAAAACAAAAAATGCTTCTTCATCACCCGATTTCTGGGCTTTTATAATATCCGATCTCAAAAAGGATTTGGTTTTTAAACAAATGCTCTTTCGGTTTTTTTAAGGGTCAAATCTCTTTCACACCTTTAAAATTGGGGGTTTTTTTTCGTCTACTACTAGAATCTGCCCAATTAGCCACGTTTTTTTGGGTTCAAAAAGAGTTTTAGTAACAAGAAGCGTACTTATATGAAATTTAAGTGTTTATTTTTTCGAAATATGGTAAAAGATACCGTAAATACTGTAATAGTACCCCACTGCCCTCGTACAGTCGGGTAGTCGCAAAAGTTTTTTAGTATTTCATTTTTTACAAAGCGCCTTTAAAAAAATGTGTCTTTGGTATCAAAAAATAGCTGAAATTCAGGGCTATTTTTTGATACCTAAGCGCGCATTGTATTAGGTACGGAAAAAATTAATGTCGTATTTTTTCACTAAAGTTCCAACGTTCATAAAATTTTTATTTCAAAAGCAATTTAATCAAAGTAAAAACCAGTAGAATCTATACATGATTGCCAACGTTTGGCTAACTTTTCAATTCCTAAAGTGTAGAACGCGGACCCGATTGAATCGATAAACTCCTGGATGCCATTTTCGACCTCCCCTTGAGTAGCAAAGCATTTCTCCGATAAGAAGTGATCGAGGAACTTGAAAAAGTGGAAATCTGTAGACGACAAATCAGGAGAATATGGAGCATGAGGGAGGACTTCAATGTGCAGCTCGTTCAATTTTTGAAGAGTCTTTAGTGAAAAATGCGGGCGGGCGTTGTGTTGCAATAGGATAGGACTCTTCCAATTCACTAGAGTTGGATCGATCCTTCGAATTTTTTGCATACATTTCGTTTATTTCGTGAAAATACTGATCAGTATTCATCGTTTTTCCGTTTGGTAGAATTGAATAATGGATCAGACGTTTCTGCGACGACCAAACACTGAGAAGAAACTTCTTTGGGTGTAGATTGGGCTTCGGAAAGGGGTTCGATAGTTATCCTTTATCTAGCCATTCGGTTTTGCGTTTTCGGTTATCGTAGAGGACCCATTTTTCATCACAACTTACAATTCGATTCAGAAATGGCTCCTTTTGGTTACGAAACAGCAATGAATACGATGTGAGGTAACGGTGCAATTTTTGATATTCGTTCAACTGATGAGGCACCCAATTTTTCAACTTTTTTACTTTTGGGATTTCCTTGAGATGGTTCGCAATTGTGTGTGGAGTGATCCCAAAGTGCGTTACTAATTCTGCCTCCGCTGTTCTGGGATCCGCTTCTAGTAGCTCCTTTAATTCGTCATTGTCGAGACTATCATGGCGTCCTCGGCCTTCCTTGTCATTAAGATCCTCGTCGCCTTCCCGTAATCGTTTGAACCAGCGCTGAACTGCTCGAACTTTAGCTTTGTTTTCCCCAAAAACTTGATTGATTTTTGGGTCGCTTCTGACGCATTGTGGCTAAGCTTGAACTCATACAAAAAGAGAAGGCGAAAGTCTCGATTTTCCATCGATGTAAAACAACCTGAAAAAAACCATTAAGAAAGGTCTAAGCAAAAGTGTTAAACAGAAAAGAAAATTGAGAAAAAATACTCAAATACAGGAAAAGACCCAAGGTCAATAAGCATTTGCAGCCGCGTAGGCAACGCCAGAAAGTGAGACCCACAAATACGACATTAATTTTTTCCGTACCTAATAGCATAAACCAGCCTCGAGAAAAACTCGTTCAAAGCTAGACTACGCAACACTTCGCACCGTCATTATGGGGGTGCGGTACTATTACAGTATTTTCGGTCAAAAATGCTGATTTCAGCTATTTTGATACCTAAGCGCGCATTGTAGCATAAACCAGTCTCGAGAAAAACTCGTTCAAAGCTAGACGATCCGACCCCCGCCCGTCTTTGGGGGTGCGGTACTATTACAGTATTTACGGTAGGTAATCCGTCAACGACAATTTTATTAAAGTTTGCCGTAATCGTAACCAACCTTTGCACAAGACTTCAGAAATTCATGGTCAGTAAATTTCTGAAATGGAATCCCAGCTAAATATTTTTTTAGCAATGATTAAAGGATTAAAGGGATTTAAAGGTTTAAAGATGATGGCTTTGCAGGCCATTTTTAGCTGATTTTGATTTGAAGGTATGGAGAATTTCTAGCTAAAATACAGCCAAACTTAGGGCAAAAATTGATCTCAAAATTGAGCATGTGTGACCCAAAACGGCGAATTTTGCCTTTAAAAAGAAGATATTAGACTGGAAATTTGTACCCGGGGATTTTCGGGGTCCGGGAATCATTTGGAGATATTCATCTTGTTCTTTTAAAAATTCTATCGAAAATTTTAACTCTGTAAATGATTTGTGGCTTCATAATTGCAAGTTAAAGACAATAAAACTAAACATATTTATTCACAAAAATGCTTTTCACATCGAATTTTCACCCAGAAGGAGCTGCGGCTTTCAATTTGAATGTGGACTTGATGAATTTACCAATGGTGAGCACGCCGCCGGACACGATTTTTCCCATCACGCATTGTTGCCAAGTTGCTTTATACGTCAACAGCATGCATTTCTAAATTGATCGATTCTTGTAATTGAATTCTTCAAAAGCCTTTGATAAATCTGGTAAAATATTCGCAAAGGGCACCTGTTTACATTCTATTGGGCTGGTGAATTGAAAACTACGAGGTATTGTCAGATGTGACAGTTTGAGCACTTTCTTCAAAAGAAACCCATTTTGGTGTCAATGGAAAAGTTGTAGAGAATCAAAAATCAAGCTTACATCCAAATTTTCAAAACGATTAAAAAGCTCTTTTTCAAGAAATGCCAAATTTACGAATTTTCACAAAACTTGCATTTTAAGCGAAACTACCAAGTGTATCTTTTTGGAAATTTGGCTATAAGCCTAATTTTTGATTCTCTACAACTTTTCTATTGACCCCAAAATGGGTTTCTTTTGAAGAAAGTGCTCAAACTGGGGCATCTCCAGTCCTCGATTTTTGAGTCTCACACTTGTCTCACACACAAACCAAAATCCTACTACGAAAGAGGAATCGGAATACGAAAGAGGAAATTGCCTGTAAAATGGGCAGAAGTCGTCAATAATAATGGAAATTATTTGGAATGAATTCATGGTTTTATGTTTGTTTGTTTGTTGAATAAATTTTAGTTCAAAATCCCGCAGTTTTCAATTCACCAACCCATTACCCCAATTTTGGTGTTTTTTCAGTGCAAAAATCAGTCAAATGAAATTTTGGGTTTGCATTTGCAACGATACCTTGATTTGCAATAGTTTTCTGCAAACCTTTGTAATTTCAGAGATCAAATTTGGTGTTGCCACAGCTGTGCCCAGTTCGCAAGCCGCTTCCAGCATAGCACTCGTTGTTTTTCCCGAGTTCTTCATTGAAGTCATCTTTGGTTGAATCTAAGTAAATTGAGAATGAAAAAGAAGACAAAAAAGAACAAAACTACTACCTTTTTATTATAAACCACTTTGAGTTTTGCTTTCAAAGCGACGAGAAGAGTTTTCTTCAAATAATCGAACATCGAGAGATCTTTCTGAATAAGGATTTTAAAGAAGAAAGATCAATCAATCAAATCAATCAATATTTTAAATAGCATCAGATTTGACTTACGATTCAAATTACTTGCAAACTTTTCAAGGATTGGCGCCTTTTTCGAAGATTCAAAGCTTTGAAACATCTACTGTAACCCAGTTACAGCAACCCAAGCTCATTTACAATAACCCAAGCTCATTTACAGTTAGACCAGGACCAGGCTTGGGCATGCTTTAGATTGAGAGCCGGATTACGGTAGCTCGGACAAGTTTTACTCGAATTGACTTTCAGAAAAGTTCTCAAAGTTTTATACCCTTACCGTTCCCGTGAGACAACTCTGGAAATCAGTGACCACACTGAACATGGCCGCTTTCTCGAGCGCAAGCTTGGTCAGATACGAGTTCGATTTTGAGGCCAATACTAAAGTTTCTTTTCTTTGTTTTAACGTTTATGGTAAGCCCAATGAGTTGTTCAAGATTTAGACTGCTAAAGTGAGCCAGAAGAGACTGACAGCCTTCCACTAACCATCCAAGCAATCCGTGAACGGTTTCGCTTGCGCAATACAGGCTCCAAGATCATTGCTAATCGTGCAAACAATGTTGTCAACTGATGTGAATTTTGTTGACAATTTTGACATTGTTTTGTTAAGGAAAGTCTGAATTGGTTTTGTGAAAAGATTTCAAAGAACAACAAAGAACAACAAACTTTGCAAGATGGTCCGATTGATTGGCATGAAGACGGGATTGCTGAGACATGCACGAAAAAAGACAAAGCAAAGAATAGGAAGAGCTTCATTTTGCGGTCCAAGTCCAAGAGAAACTGGAAATGTCACTAAAAATAAGAAGCTATAGAAAAAGGAGAGTTGTAATAGAAAGTTTGCACTAATGAGATATTACTGACAAGAGAAGGTCAACTTTGCAGGGACTTGAAGTCCCTACAATGCATGCGGTTAATAACTACTATACAAGACCTAGAGAATTGGACTCATGCCAAATATGCACTTTGCTTTTTTCTAACAGTAAGCAACACGGAATCGCAAGGTATTAGGTTGAGGCAAAATCATGCGCGTGTTGAATTTCGCATTGGAGAATTGAAATTGACTTCAACCCAGCACTCACGAGTCACGAACTTGCAGAAATGTTGATCAGAAGATAATCGACAACCAATTGCACCAACTCGGGAAATTCGCTGTGGAAAATGGATCCAGGACGAATTGACTCAAGACAAAAAAAACACTTGTCAACGTCAGTGTCAACGTCAGTGTCAACGTCTTTTTCGTTCCATAAATGCAAAGCTGGTGGTTTTTGGGATTCGATTTTGGCATCTGATGAAACTTAGATTAATTACAAGAATGTTAGAAAAAGAAACAAATGGCTATCTACCGGACAAGCCCCTCAAACCACTCCTAAACCTGATATTCATGAAAAGAAAATAATTCTCTGTTGCTAGTGGAACTCAAAAATTGTATAACTCAGTTGGAGTGCATTTTCCTGTTGCTAGTGGCACTCAAAAGGTTTGGTGCACTATAAGCTAATCTAGAAAACATTGATGCTGATCTCTGTTCAAAATAATTGACTAGAATTAGCAGTGCTTTAAAGAAATTGAGGCTCAATCCATCAAAGATTCGATTTTTGCACGACAACGCAAAATCTCACCCTGCAAAAGTCACTCACAAAAAAAATGACAAGCTAGGCTGGAATCTACTTCCTCATGCGACTGGAATGACTGGAAAATGACTGGAATCTACTTTCTCATGCGCCTTACTGTCCTGACTTAGCTCCTTTGGATTACTTTTTGTTTCGACCCCTGAAACAGTTGATCATGGGAGAAAAGTTCGATGATTATGCTCAAGTTCAAAAAGCTCTGGACAACTATTTTGGCTCCAAAAATCCTCAATTTTTCACAAATGGAATCAAGGAATTGCGTCGATGATGGGAAGAAGTCATCGATAAAGAGAATACCTTACTGATTGATGGTCGCTATTATTTCTTGTAGAATGCAATAAATTGTTGCACCAAAAAAGACGCGCACTATTTTTTTCCTCAACCTAATATTTGTGCTCGAAGCCTTAGTTTGCAGTTGAATTTGAATGATGGAAAGATAAGGGTAGTTGAAGGAAGACTGTTTAAGCTAGTTTCAGACACAGTCGATACCAGACACACGGCAAAAAGCAGGATGACTAACAACTCCTGCTGTCCATCGATCTTTTATACTTCTGACAGCTATTTGTACCAGAGATCTCACTCGGTTCACCACAATCTAGAAAAAGCTTTTTTTGCCTCTTTTTTTTCACCAATTGTGATTTCTGCTGTAATTCGATTCCATTAAAAGAACACTTGTTGTAATTTTTGCTAAAATTTCACATCAGAGATCGAATTTTTAAAGAGCGCAAACCTATTTTTGACCCTCATTATTTTCCCATTCGTTGGACAGTCGGAGATAAAGAAAAAAAAAATGAGGGTTGGGGAAATGTACTGTACCTGAAAGTTTTCCACGTGAGATGGAAAAAGGAGACTGTCTGCTTGTTGTACTTGCGCTATATTGCAGAAATTTATCAGTCAAAATGGCTTTGAGTATTTCGAAAAGGATTTGATCCAGTGTGAAACTTTTGAATCTCAATAGCAATAATATTAGGTTGGCGACATTGAAATTTCGTTTGCGTTTCACTTTATGGATTTTAACACTGTGGATACTATTACCACCTCAATCTCTTCTGTTTTAAAGATATAATTATTGTGCTTTATTACGCGTCTTTTCTTTATTTCCAGTTGAAGAATTTTAATTAAAAAAATCTTATAGATGCTAGACGACCTCAAATATCGAGTTCGCATTTGTTGCTGTACGATTTCAAACATGAAAAAACAGCAACTGCACAAAACAAAAAACAGCACACAAATACTTATTAACCGATTCGTTATCATGCTTGGCTCCAATGCTCAAATGGTCTACAATATTGCACTAATCATTTCAGTTTTGTGCTTTGAACTGATCTCCGCAGATTGCACTGTCGAGCAACAAGCGACAATCCTCAAATGTTATGCTCCGTTTCTTAAGTATTTTGGAATCAATCCATTTGGTATTATTTTCTTTATGATACCATGTTGATTATCAAAATGTTTCCAGTTGATGAACTGCCAGTTTTTAAAAACTTACTTGGCGCCATTCAAATATTAGGTTGGCGACATTGAAAATTCGTTTGCGTTTCTTTTTATGAATTTTAGCACTGTGGATACTATTACCACCGCAATCTCTTCTGTTTTAAAGATATAATTATTTTGCTTTATTACGCGTCTTTTCTTTATTTCTAGTTGAAGAATTTTAATAAAAAAATCTTATAGCTGCTATACGACCTCAAATATCGACTTCGCATTTGTTGCTGTACGATTGTGCTGTACGATTGTGCTGTACGATTTCAAACATGAAAAAACAGCAACTGAGTCGCATGAATCACTTTGTAACGTATTTGAGAAAGATTTTATCACTGTTCGTCAATGTCAAAACTGGTTCAAAAGATTTCGAAAGGGTGACCGAAGTCTAGAAGATCTGGAACGAGGACACAGCTCACATGCTGTGGCAAACAACGATTTGAAGCAGATAATCGAAAGTGATCCGACAAAGACTACATGTGAACTTGCGGAATATTTTAATTGTGATCATAAAACAATCGAAAACCATTTGCATGAATTGGGCAAGATCAATAAAGCTGGGAAATGGATTCCACATTCACTAAGCGATGCAAGCAAAGCCATCAGAGTTCTTTGTTCAGGAAAATAGCTTAGAATTTCCAAGAATAGTGAATTTTGGAACGCAGTTTTAATTTCTGATAAGAAATGGATTCATTATGACAATATTACAAGGATAAGACAATGGCTCAACCCGGGTGAAATTCCAAAGTCAATACCTAAACCTGATTTTCACGGAAAGAAAGTTATGCTGTCGATTTGGTGGACTACCCGAGGCCTGATTCATTTCGAAGTGTTAATTTCTGGTCAAACTGTTGATGCAAATCTTTACGTTCAACAACTAGATCGCGTGTTTGTGTGTTGGTGTTGTGTCTCCGGATTGTCGGCTTCTGCTGAACGACTTTTCAGGTAGAAGTCTTTATTTTTACCTTTACTTATGTTTGGTTTAGTCGACTTGGTGTAATTTATGGAAACAAGCAAAGAGGGTGGCTTTTCCCTTCCATCGTGGAAGATTTGGTGAAAGTGTACGACGCTGATCAACAACTGCTTATCTCTCGGTATCATTTAATTTAGTTTGTGGTTTTATTATTTTATTTTAGACGTTTTCCAACTCGTTACACGCAGAAGTACGCGGAAAAAATGGATGAAGAGATTCGTCTTGATGCTTCCCTGTCCTCGCGGACTACACTTCTCCTCGATCAAAGTTATGACGAAATGGATGATGGCAGTCCGTTAAACATTATTGACTAATCGCGTTGTTTGTTCTTTGTTATGTTTTAGGTTTTTGTTATCTTTTTGTTAATTGTTTTTTTTACAAATAAATATTCAATGAATGGCTGTCTTTACGATTTGGTCTTGGTAAAGTACTTGGTACTTTGATAAAGTAAAGTAAAGTAAATTTTGGTTGTTTGCTCTTCATAAATACTTTGTGTTTGTTCCCAGAGAAAAAAAAAACGATTTTTAAAATAGGGCAATTTCACTTCGAATTTATATTACTGATTGAATACAATTGGCTTCTAGCGATAGCGTTTTTTCATATCAAAACCCCTAATAACGTTTTTTTTGCTCTGAATTTATTACAATTGCTTCATACTGCGCTCCAAAATTCTTTTAAATGAACCTGATCTTTCCTTTCAAATCAATTCCAAGGTTTTTGATCACTTTTAACTGGCAGCCATTCAACGGATTTAAGCCTGACCTAAGCCGATTTACACAATTTATCCACACGCATTTTTTTTTTCAGGGGAAATAATGATGGACAATGATGGACAGATCACCGTTAATCTCGCTTTAGATGAAATGTGTGAGGGACAGTTTAGTCAAAATGATTGGAATAGAAGTGGGGACCATGTAAAATATTAAAACTATTCAATAAATGTTTATTTTTCGCGGAGTTCTAAACCTAGGCATACATAAACGATGGATTTAAACTAAAACACGCTAGAGAGCATTCTGAAAACTGATCCGAAGTCCAATTCCAAGCTTTGGATCTAGGCTAAAATGCGATTTGGTCTGATTTGTTTGACTCCACGCAGCAAAGAAAATCATATAATAGATGAAAAATCGGTATACGTTTAAGAAATGGCATCTCAGTCGACGTTTGAGCAACGTTTGCTGCTTGGCTTCAAGCCGGTAATATCCTTTGAAATACAACAAAGAAACTTGGCAACTAAGTCAGTAAACTTTAAAATATACAATATAGCACAAAAAAGGCGATTATTAGCATAAAATTTCGTTAATTGCCGAGAAGTTTCGTCATGAAAGCGACTGCATTTTTCCCACCAGCCACCGACGTTGCCGAGTAAACGATTGCTGTTGTCGAAAAGATGGCTAACAAGAGGAAAAATCGCATCTTTCCGTTGCCCACTGAATTTGGATATTTGTAAGAAAAAAAAAACAGAAAACAAAAAATAAAATTAAGTAAAAAATGAGTTTATAGAGAATCTGAGAAAGAGAAGCTTACTCTTGTTCCTTTCCCAGTCCAGCTAATTGTAAGAGCTTTGTTTTTCAAAACTTAAACTTAAAACCTTACAACTAGGTAAAATTAGAACGTTAACTCTTTAGGTGCATGTTAACTCTAAAAAAAAACCAGTTGTTTTTATTGATTCCGAGCTTTTGACAATAAGAAAGATAAACGTTTTGCTAATTCTAGAATGGACAAAAATAAACCCTGTAAATAAGTATAGAAAATCGTATTTCTAGTGCTATTTCTGTAACCACCAAGCAACATGTCTTCCAGAACCAGAAAGCTCTAGCAAATAGCTAATATAAGTATGGCATTCTTTTCGGATTATGTCTTTTCTAACTGTCACTTTACTGCAGTAATACTTTATCATTTAAATAAAGTATCAATATGATAATCCTGCTGCATGTAATGCTATTTGAGTTTGCTAAATGCTTATCTTCAAGCCTAGCTCTAGAGTATATGATCATCTGATCATAAGAAAAGTATATACCGTAGTAGTGCACCCAGCCGAGCCGAGTTGATGCCTATTTTACGGTTTCCAATTTTTCCCAGAAGCTCAACACTCAAATCCCCCACTAGATCTCATCGTCAGCTACATTTTCTGATCCCACATCGATAGGTTCTGATAAGCGGTTCTCGAGATTTCGAGTAATTTAGACGACGATCAAGGTGCGCTAATATTAGAAAGAATACGGTATCTATTTTTGCCTATTTAGTTGCGTAGGCTACCGAAGAATGTCAAAAAAAAGAGAGATTGGAAAATTGAAACCAAGACTACGATAGTTTTTGAAAGTTGACAGGCTTTAGGAAACGCATTGGTGCATGAAGCAAGCACAACAACACAAGCAGCAATAGGTCGTTAGCGGCCAATGCGCTGAGTTCATCTCCCCTCAAATCTCCCTCCATTTTATATGCACCCAATGCCTGCTTTTTCCGTTCACACCTTTCTACGACAACCTCGAATTTTGAGGGGATTTCAAGAAGAAAATCCGCTTAACAACGTGTAAAATAAAAGCCCATTAAAAGAAGGTTTTCTGTTTCGATGGACATTTTTTTGATTCGGCGAATTTCATCGGCATTTAATGCGTTGTTCGCCTAAAGATCAGCAACCAAAACTGAGGATTTAAGTAAAATACATTGAAAGTCTTGTTAATTAGTCAATTACAAAAATTTTAAATCTTCAATCTAGTAAAGTTTCTTTTTATAAACACCGAAATCTTTCAAATAGAGCATTTTCTAAAACGTACAAACTTCTGAGAGCTACCGTAACCTACTTTTGACTACTTTTAAGATATTTGTATCTGGATTATATTGGATTTCTTGTAGAACTTTTAGAATGGTTTAGCTAAATTGCCGTTTGTTGAATCACCTATGAAATTATCACTGAAATAGTTGTTCAAAATTGAAAGCTAGAATAACCATTTCAACTTCCTGAAATAGTTGTTCAGGAAGTTGAAAAACACTTCCTATAATCTGTTTAATAACTTGCAAATGAACACTGGATAGATTGATTATCTCGTAAGATTCTAGAATGCTTCTAATTTAATCTTTTAATCTAGAATGTTCTAGAATGCTCATCATTCGAAATCAATTAGTCTAATGTTTATGTACCAAAAATCTATCTGGGAGTATAGTTTAAAGTTATGAATCTTTAAATTATCTACAATCTTTTCAAGAAATACAGATGTGGAAATGAAAGCAATATTGGGCAAACGGGATAATACCAAATAACGAATATATTGGGGAGATAGCGCCGAAATGTAATAGCGCCGAAAATCAAAGGAATTTCCAAAAGATAATAATTTGAGAGAACCTGCCTTTTCCGTTCTCAATTCACGTTTAGTGTTAGTTATTTTGCTAACAATACGCTTAATCTTGAACAGCACATGACACAAAACGGCTTAAAGCGTTTTTGACACGTTTCGAAATACTATTGGGTTTGGGAGAATGAAATGGATATTTGTATCTGGTTTATATTGGATTTCTTGTAAAACTTTTAGAATGGTTTAGCTAAATTGCCGTTTGTTTGATCATCTATGAAATTATCACTGAAATATTAGGTTGATGCATAAGTGTTTTTGTTCCTTTTCGTCTGCCGTTTCAAGCCAACAAATGCACCAATTAAACTACGGTTGATTTCATTAGAAAAAGCAAGAAAAACCAACTCAACAATCCTGGTCCTGGCCAGACTTGTTCTAAGGTCAGACCTTGGTGGAACAAGTCTACTGTTACATCTGGCATTTGCCTAACATTTTGATCATTATCAGACCTAGTATCTATCATAATTTCTGTAGATATTGTACCTATTTCAAAACTGTTTTTTTTTCCAGGCAGATCAAGGTGGGCAACGCCAGCAGCCAGTGGCTTGGCTGGCTTGACCCTTAATAAGTACCTACCGTAAATACTCAAATATTAGGTTGATGCATAAGTCTTTTTGTTCCTTTTCGTCTGCCGTTTCAAGCCAACAAATGCACCAATTAAACTACGGTTGATTTCATTAGAAAAAGCAATTATTTTTCTGCAAAATAACATTAAAACGGGTTTAAAAATATTTAATGCCTGGATTTTCTTGAGAGTATGAAGTCGGGTAGTCAAAAAGGGCTAACTCGATGATGCGGTTTAGACACCTTAGCTAAAGAAAACCTATCTTCGTGTCAATAGATAAAAGATAGAGAAAAAAAACGTTTGATATTTCGCCAAAATTTCAGAGAAATTCATTCAGCCAATTTTTCCGTAGAGTTTTTTATAGATTTTTACGAAAAAGGCGTTTTTCACTCTCGAATTTGCTTGAAAGTGAACCGAAATTCATTTAAAAAGATGCAAATTGAACAAAAAAACACTTTTTTTATAGAGCAAACTATAGATTAATTGGTGAATTTGTTACTTTTTAACAGAAGTACGAAAAAAACGAAAAGACTTATGCATCAACCTAATAGTTGTTCAAGATTGAAAGTTGGAATAACCTGAACTTCCTGAAAAACTTCAACTTCCTGAAATAGTTGTTCAGGAAGTTGAAAAACACTTCCTATAATCTGGTTTCTATAATTTCTATAATTTTCTATAATCTATAAATTTTCTATTACAAATGCATCAAATGAAATACGGTTTAAACCATTGAAAAGCGCTAGATATCTTCAGCAAAATGGTTGTTGACAATTCGGAAAACCTTTCATTTTTCGGATTTTTCGGGAGCGCAAAGGCGAGTAGGGAAAATTGACGAAAATTGACGTTTGGCAAACTTTTTTTTGATGGAAAATGACAATAACTTTCTATACTAAAGGAAATCTTTATTATATTTTTCGTAAAATTTCCAGTAAAATCCGTTTTTTACAAATTTCAACTTATCGACATCGATTATCTCGTAAGATTCTAGAATGCTTCTAATTTAATCTTTTAATCTAGAATGTTCTTGAATGCTTCGTAATGCTTCTAGAAAGGTTCATTTAAATGCTATCTGCCAGTTGTTGAACAGTAAAATTGAAGTATTAGGTTGGAGAGAATGAAACTGCGCCGAAAATCAAAGAAATTTCCAAAAACTCCTAGCAGATTTGATATGATACGCGTTTGCAAATGATACGCGTTTGATATTAGTAGAAAGGTTAACTAATTCTCTACAAAATGACATTTAAAAGAGAACTCAAACAGCGCCTCAGCTCAACAAAAAGCCATTTTTTCATAAAAGCTATAAACTATCATTTAGAAAAAACGGCTTAAGGGATCTTCTTGAGACTTTTACAACTTATGTAATTGAGCGTGCTCTATCTTTTTTATTGAGACACCAAAAGAGGTTTATGTGGAAGAAACTGTTCAAACGATAAGTTGAATAGTTGAAAAAATTAAGAAAAATGTCTTTCTTTTCGGAATCTTTGCACACGATCAAGAAGTCGAGTTTTTCTTGTCGTTTTGGTATATTTACAAAAATGGCCGCATTTTGCGAGAATATGGATGATGCAAAAAGAGCGGATGCTTTCTTGTAGGATTTTTTCAATGGATAGCTTTATGAAACATTCAGATTTTACAGCTTGAGGGATCTTCTTGAGAATTTGGCAACTTATGTAATTGAGTGTGCTCTATCCTTTTTTATTAAGACACCAAAAGAGATTTATGTGGAAGAAACTGTTCAAATGACAAGTTGAACTCTTTGTCATTTTGTCGAGCTTTGTTTGGGAGTCCATAAACTCCACAAAAGAAAATCTTTGTGGAATTTTGTATCAAATCAAATCAAAAGCCATTTTGTAGAGCAATGATCGACTTTTTTGATTATACAAACAATAAATTATATGTAACTTTTATGCTTTATAGAAAAGTCAAAAGAAAAGAAAAGAAAAGTTGAAAGTCAACGCCATTTCATACTCGCCAACCTAATACATAATCAAATGCTCTGAAAATAAACCCAAAATTGGGAAGAAAAGTGTATCACCGGAGTCATCAGACATTTCATGGGTGTATTGCAACTCTTGCATAGGTTTAAATTGACAAGCTTTTGACTCTGAGAGGCTTAAATTGACAGAATTGGCCTTTCTCGAGATCTAAGTCTCACTTGGATACCAGAAGGCTTTCTGCGACGATCGGGTCAATCGATCAATGAAAAAATGGGAAGCGCTTGAGTTTGGTAAAATCAGAAGCTCAGCTAGCTTTAACTTTTTGATCCAATCTTTTAGCAATTTAAGATTTTCTAAAATTAATCTTTTGTTCATCAAATTTTTTTGAAACAACTGTGCATTTTTGATTTGAATCAACCAAATTCATCTTTATTTCTTTATCTATTCGATTTTCTCATCCTGATGGACACGTGGCCTTCTTTTTGTACGTCGTCTTGATATATTTGGCAAGAGTGAGCACTTTTTGAGCGACGACTTTTTTAATCACACATTCCGTCCATGTAC